CCAGTGCTCGACGATGCGCAAGGCGGCTCGGGCAGCAGGCTGCGGACTCCTCGGCGACGGCGCGGCCGAGAGCGGGCGAAGCGGGCGTGGCGGCGCGGTGGCCGTCGAGCACGACGGGGTCGAGGGGCGGCGGGCGGAAGGGACTCGCGGTGCGGCGCAGGTGCGGCGGCGTGTAGACGCCCGTGACGCCGGCGAGGGGGTCGGTGTGGGCGTGGGCGAGGTGGCGTGGGCCGGGGGGCGCGTCGTCGGCGGCCATGTCGGCGGAGGAGAAGTGGCGGGTTAGGCTGGACCACATGATGCTGGGCTAGGGGGCGCGGGGGGCATGCGATGGGGTGGTGGTGCTACGCAGAGGCCGAGGTGACGACGTGATGATCGGAGAAAGGCAGCGTGTCCTGATATAGGCAACAGAGCCGAGTGGGGACGGGCACGCAGGCAGTCGTCGACAGCGGGAGGTCAATGTGTCAAGATGGGCCGTTGCCGTCGTGCTGCTGTGGCGATCGTGCTGCTTTTGCAATCGAATGCAATCAATGTGTCATGCAGCGCGGCTCGAGACGGCCAATGGTGGTGGTGGTGATGGTCTTGGATGCGGGGCGGGGTCTGATGTGGTGTCTGCTGTCTGTGAGTGGACGTAGTTGGACGTTGAAGGTGGACGTGGAAGATGGTGAATACGTAGAAGATGGTGAATGAGGCTGGGACAGCAGATGGAGTCCCCGAAAGTAAGTTGCTCCCTACCTGGTAAGATCGGTCAGGACTCTTGCGGTGAGGAGCATCCCCACCTTGGGTCCGGAGCAGAGGAGGGGCAGAGGAGCAGCAGTGAGCAGGCTGAGGAACGGACAGGACAACCCTACCGCCCTGCTCCACCGCCACGTCGACGTCAGCCGCGCGCCTCGACACGTGCAGCCTCACCAGGCACATCACGACCTTGCCTGACCCAGCCTCACCCAGCTTCACCACATCGCTTCCCCTCACTTACCTCTCATCACCACTCACAAACCACTCACATCACATCACCACACCACATCACCACTCACACCACCACTCACATCACCACCACATCACCACCACATCACATCACAGATCTATCAGCCACAGATAAAATGTGTCTTGCTAGACGACTGCCTAGGCATCTACTACTACACTACATCCCCACCGCCAGTGCGGCCCGGCATCTTTTCCCGTCCTCTCTTTCCGTCCTGTCCCTGCACCCCCCTACTCTGGTATAGTGAATGGATATAGTCAATCATCATGGTCCCGTCCCCGCCCCCAAACTAGCACCAACAAAGAACGGCAACGAGCGCTGTCTCCCGCGTCGGGTATTCAAACACATCTCTGCTCCTTCGCCTGCCTGGTATATAAACACGGCCTTGCTCCCCTCCACGGCCTCAGCACCTCGACGCCCTCGCGGCCTCACATCGCCTTGCCGACGCTGCCCTGCGTCTGCTGGCTGCCGCCGCTGAGCCTGCGCCGCTGCTCGCCCGGTCGGTACCCCGACGTCGGGCTGTCCATGTCCCACCGCCCCGATGGCCCCGACGGCCCCACGTCCGGCCCCGGCTCGCTCCACCCGGTCGAGCCCACGCCGCTGCTGTACTTGCTCTGCATGCTCTCGCTGCGCATGTGCGCCGCCGACGGCTGACGCGGCGCCCCCGACACCCGCCCGCCGACGACGCTGGTGCCCTGGCTCGACAGCAGGTCCGGACGCTCGAGGTCAAACGGGTCCGACCGCCACTTGTTGCGCCGCGCCGTGAAGCTGTCGACGCTGCCCCCCGACTCGCGGTACACCGAAGTCGTACCGCGACGACCGCGCCATCTGCGTGCTCGGCGGCCGCGTCGTCAGCCCGCCCATCGATGTGC